CGCTCCGGAGCTTGGGCACGCACGCACACGCGCCCGACGTGAGTTTTAAACCACTGGGTCCGGGACGCGAACCCCAGTCGACTACGTGGGAGTCCAGCGACATAGCCATTACGCTAACTGCTGGTTCCCACAAGTCCTTAATTCTTAATAGTATGACCTTTGAAGTTAGAATTTCAGCATAGGAATGTTTTTAAAGAATTAATTTTTATTTATTTTTATTTATTGGCATTATTATTATTGTTATTATTGGAAATTAACCAGAGAGACGGAGAGACAGAAGGAAACTGAGAAAGCAAGCTGCCGGGTCTAGAACCATAACCACGGTCAGCCATATGGGAATCCAGGTGCCTTAGCCACCATGCCAGGAATAGGAATTTTGAGGGAACATAAATATTCTGTCGTTTAGAGAGAATATGATTATGTGTCTTTTTGGCTTAAGTTCTCTCCTTTCCACAGAATATTATGCTTCTTTGAACCTTTCCTTAGAATTCTCCTTCTAAAGAATATTCAGGGACCAGCAGTTAGCCTAATGGCTATGTCACTGGACTCCCACGTAGTTGACTGCGGTTGAAGTCCCGGACCCGGTGGCTTAAAACTCACACCGGGTGCATGTGCGTGCATGCCCAGGATCCCGAGAGGAGAATGGAGGAGAGGGGATTGCGGTGTGGCCATCCCCCCTGGGGGGTGATTTCTCGCTTTCTGTCTCTCTGTCTCTCTCTGTCTCTATCTCTCTCTGTCTGGCGAGTGCACGCGCCCTCTAGTGAAAACCTCTCAAAAAAAAAAAAATAATATTCAAAGGGGTCAGCTTCATAGCCTATTGGTTAAGCAAGCTGGATCCCATAAAGACTACCACAGTTCAAATCCTGGCCTGATAGCTTGAAAAATATGCTGAACATGTATGCATGCATTCCCATCACAAATTGCAACAAGATAAAGAAATGAAGGAGAGTGGATTGTGGCATGACTATACCCACTGAGAAGTGCTGTCTCCTTCATTTCTCTTTGGCAAGTTCTTGTGTTCTTTGGTAGGTTTTTAAAAAATTACGAAGGATGCAATTACAGATCTCACACTGTACATGGGAAATACAGAACTGCGTACTTGCCGAACTGTACGTATCTGGTATTTTCTCAATGCCAGCAGAGGGAAAGGCCTCTTCTTCATACCTGGTTTCTACACTGGGCAAGGACAGGAGAGTGATGCAGACCTTGAGTCCAGTCTTAAAAGAATCAGTCATGGGACCAGCAATTAGCGTAATGGCTATGTCGCTGGACTCCCATGTAGTCAACCGTGGTTCGCATCCTGGACCCAGTGGCTTAAATTTACACTGGGCGCGTGTGCATGCATGCCCAAAATCCTGAGAGGAGAATGGGGGAGAAGGGATTGTGGCGTGGTCATCCCCCCTGGGGGGTGATTTCTTACTTTCTGTCTCTCTGTCTGGCGAACGCACGTGCCCTTTAGCAAAATCCTCTCCAAAAAAAAAAAAAAATCCAGAATCAGTCACAAAACTGGATTGTATATTAATTGTGGAGAACTTTGTAATCCTTTGATCCTTTTCACCTAATCATGTTTCCCATCACATATACTTTGTTCATGACATGACTCTAAAAGACTGACCGAATAATATCTATTTACTCTGTACTTTTCCTTAAATGTTTTCTTAATAAAAGTGTGATCAAGTAAATACATCCCCAAAGGTTTGACCAGGTCATGTTTAGAAATGTTTCTACTTGGTCAGATTGATTTTGTGTGGGCTGCCACATATACTGCTAAAAACCCTCCCTTGTACCAAGTCTCAAGCTTCAAAATGAATGAAAATTCTTTAAGCCAGTGGTCGTCAAAGTGTTGTGCCCGAAAGGGCACCATGGAATTACCTGGGAACATGATAGAAACTGTCTCTTGGTCCCCATCACAGGCTACTGAGTCAGAAGCTCTAGGAGTAGCTCCCATCAATATATGTGATACTATGGACCTTCTCTGATTGGTGCTCAGCTCTGAGACCCACTATTGCAGTTGTAAAAGATGTCCTTTCAATACCGTCTCAATGTTATTAGGCATTTATTTAGATGTGTAAACCAAGAACTCACAATATTCGATGAATCAGTTTTATGTAGGTCATTGAGTTCTGTATAAATTCAAATAAACATGTATGTGTCCTTTGCACAGAAAACCACATCTTGGAGGATGTGAACAAGTGTGTGATAGCCCTCCAAGAGGGGGATGTGGACACTCTGGACCGGACGGCAGGGGCCATCAGAGGTCGGGCAGCGCGAGTCATACACATCATCAATGCTGAGATGGAGAACTATGAAGCTGGGGTTTATACTGAGAAGGTGCTGGAAGCTACAAAATTACTTTCTGAGACAGGTAAGATGGGTTTAAAGGTATTCAGTCTAGCCAAAATGTTAATCCCAGGTTTAATTTCTGTATCTGAGTAAAGATAGCTTTATTGCTTTCTAGAGGCCTTTATGCTTCTAAATTGCACAAAACCATGGAAAGGATGGAGTGCTTGGGTGCTCTCTTTGAGTTTGAACCCAGGTAACTTTAGGAGTATAATAATTGTTATTGTTTTTTCATGTATGTATTACTGGTAGTTTTCATATATAATAAAAACTGCATTTGATTAATTATCTATCATAAGGACTTCATGAAGTAGGCAGAAATATTTTTTTTATTACCTACAGTTATATATGAGAAAATGTAAGTTAAACCATTCAAGAGACTTGAATGTGCTTGCAAGGCTAGTAAATAGTGCAAATATCACCTGAATCTGGGTCTTCAATTCGAAAACCATTTCTTCATCCATTTTTGGAGGAGATGGACTTTGAGGAGGAGCTCGGTATAGCCATTGGAAAGCACGAAGACTTTAGGTAGTACAGGGATGTAAAGTGCTCAAAAGAGATAGTGGCAGCTGAAAAAGAGTTTAGGCTTTCAGTTTATTCCTTTCCTTTGTAGGAGGGCCTCACATGTCCTCCAAGGCCATGTAGCTGACCACTGGGAATCTCTGCTATGGAAGACAGTATGGAGCCTGTCATAGTTCTCAGGTGCATTGGGATGGAAAAAAGACTTAATTCCACTGAGTTAGCAGAACAAGCTACAGCTTTGAAGAGTGTTCAACGGCTGGCCTATATTTTAGTAGCTTTTGCTCTTGACTACCATCTCTTGCCTTCAAATACTTTAAATCCCTGCCTTGAATATTTGTATATATAGGTAGGTGGATAGGATGAGAGTAGAAAGTTCAGGAAAAGGGCACAGACTAGGGGATAGAAAAAAACAATTTATGTTGGACGGCATTGTAAATGATTAGATTCGAATCACTTCTGTGTACAGAAGGACCTTGTTCCTCAAACTTCAGTGGGAGCCTCCTTGAATTTGTACATGAAGTTTGACCCTCAGTGGGCATTTTAAAAATAGGTATCTCTTAAAGGTCAGATACAGCTATGTTCTGAGTTCTGCATGATAAAACATGTTAGTAGAATTATGTTTACTTTGGGGGGCCAGCAGTTGGCATATTGGCTATGTCACTGGACTCCCATGTAGTCAACTGGGTTCGAGTCCCAGACCTGGTGGCTTATACACAGGCCAGGTGTGTGTGTGTGCATGCCCAAGATCCCAAGAGGAGAATAGAGGAGAAGAGATTGTGGCGTGTCCATTCCACCTGGGGGTGATTTCTTGCTTTCTGTCTCTCTGTCCTTCAGGTGAGCACACGTATCTTATAGCAAAAAATAAATAAATAAACCTCTCCAAAAAAAAGGGAATGTTTCCTTCTACAGGGAAAAGATTATTTACAAAGACATCTGTAGATACTTGTTAGCCTAGAATAGCAAAGAAGAAGCAATGTATGAACACAAGCATCAGTCATTCTTTCTGATATGTAGTCAGTCAGAAAGAAAGCACTACAGTATCATATAATAAAAAGCAAACCTAGAGATTGTTCTTGAGAATCTTCTCAGACTTAAAATTAGAAATAATAAAAACACTAATGAGATATACCTTCAATTCATTCACCTGAGATTCGGCATTGTTTTCTTTCAAGCGAACTCGGTCCTTATGACCCACAGAGCAACACAAAGCAAGCCACACAGTATTTCTCTCCTCATGTGGAAGAATTAGAAATAGGCATGTTATTCTCTAAATTAACAACTTTCTTTTTTTAATTTTATACTGACTCTTATCTCAAGGTATATTAGCTCTATTCTCTCAGAGATTCTCAGCTTCACTGGCATATCCAAAACATAATAATCCTCACTTGAGTCAGAGAAGACTGCATGGCATAGAGACAGGACTTTAGGCTCCTGTCTTCTTATGACGGGCTGGAACATTTGTGGCAGATGAAAGAAATAGAACACACTGCCAATTTCCATGTAATTTGCTACCCACAAAGAATTCAAGGACCATTCCAGAGACATCCTGAAGTTTTTTTTCTTATTGCATCTTTGGCTGTTTTAATGATAGAAGTGGCATTCATTGGGTCAAAATCCACACAAGGGTGAGGATAGTTTTTTTTTTTTTTTTTATTTTTTTGTGTATTGCTAATCAAAATTTTGCTTTCTTGTTCATTGTTAGAACTTTTTAAATTCTCATTTCATCTCTCCCTTGTCATGAATGAACACTCTAGGGACTTAAATATAGGCATCTTTTTAAATTTTGATGGCCATATCCAATTCCTAATTGAACATAGTAGATGAACAAGATACTTAGATTCTCTTTTTCAAGTTTTATATAAGGTGCCTGGAAAATAACAAGGTAGAAGAGATTAAAACAGGCAGTTTATACACAACTGTATTAGAAAACGTAGGAATACATGTCAAGAAAAACAGAAAGTTCAGGGAAGGGGAAGAGACTAGTGGAGAGAAAAAGAGAAGTTAACTCTACATTGGATAGGTTGTGAATGAGTAGAGTTGAATCATATATATGTGTACAGAAGGGCCTCTCTCCTCAAACTCCATGGGAGCCTCTTAACTTTGTGTGTTAGTAGGCTGAGAATGAGAATATTAAAAAATCCACAAATCCTTTTGCTGCTGACCCCAGTTATGTTTTTTCTTTCTTAAACACCAACAATATTGTTTCTTTAAGAGTAGCTGGAGATGTTGCCAAACTTTAGCTGTTAACTTACTGTCAATTAGAATTGCTGGGAAATGTGCTTGAATAGACTAGACACATGGAATTTAAGGAAGACCCTAGGTCAATTCTATGATTTTTATGGTTCTATCAAGTTTTATTGGTGAAGGGCCAGAAGGTGGTGAGAAGGTTAAAGTAGCTGGATCCCGTTAGGCCAAACTTTGTAGTTCAAGTCCTAGACACGTCAGCTTGAAAATTATGCTGGCTATGTGCGCATGTGTGTCCAAAATCCCGAGAGAAGAATTGAGGAGAAGAGATTATGGAGCATCATCCCCCTGAGGGGCTGATTTCTCACTTTCCCTCTCTCTGTCTGTCTCTGGCTAGTACACTCTCCCTATAGCAAAGCTAAAAAAAAGTTATGTTGGAGATTTTATATATGTATGTGTAAGTGTATATATTGGCTATGCTAAGGACAGAAATCCTCAAAATAAAAACTCCTGTGTATATCATTGATATCCTTTGGGTTAAGGTTTTTTGTTTTTTTTTTTTCTCGTTAAAATAAAATAAAAACCTTAGAGCTATATTTAATTAATCCTTTTTCCTCCTTAGTTTTGCTATTAAATTTTTAAAAAATAATTATTTTATTTAACTTTGCTTATTTAAATTTTGACCAGAGAAGGACAGAGCTAGAGAGAGAGAGAGGGAAAGTAAAAAAGCAGGCCATCAGGTCTGGGACTTGAACTGCAGTCAGTCACGTGGGACTCCAGCCCCCTTCACTACCATGCCACCTGCCAGCCCCTAATTAGTCCTTTTATATAGGATCCTATAAAAGTTTGTTCTGAAAGTATATTTTATTTTGGGGATAGAACAGAGGAGTAGTTGGCAAATGGGAAAAAAAAAACATGAAAAAGAAAGTTGAGAAAAAAGATGAAATGTATCTTTTTATGTGTTTGTTTTTGTTTTTGTTTTGCTTTGCCATGCATACTAGATTCTGCCTGGTTTTGTTTTCTCACTATTGGTTTGTTTTGTTTTTCAAAACATGAGTTGTTAGATTTAAGACTCTAAGTCAGAAGTTCTCAGCTGCTGCACTACCTGTACTTTGATTTTGAGTAATGCGTGAGTTGTCAGATTCAAGGCTCTAAGTCAGAAGTTCTCAGCTGTTGCACTACCTGTACTTTGATTTTGAGTAATGCTTCTGGGGAGGAGGGTGGTGACGCAGCCCTGTGTGTTCTGCGGTGCATAGCAGGGTCCCTCCCTGGGCTCCACCCGCCAGATGCTTACAACATAACCTCCTTCCTCCACCCCAAGTTGTGAGAACCGAAAATGGCTCTAGACAATGGCAGATATCCTTGGGCAGGAGGTGGGGGAGGGGCAAAATAAGGGCCACAGAGAATCACTGTCCTAAGGTTAAAAAAAAAAATTACACAGGGACAAATTTGAACCGGGCAAAAAGGAGCCTATATCCTGTGGACAGGGAGTAGTGTGAGAGTGAAAAATCTATGAGAGAAAAGAATGTTCAAAAATTCTTCACTGGAGCTGGCAGGTGGTATGGTTAAGGTGCTGAACTTTCACTTAGCTGATCATGGTTCGAGTCCTGGACCTGGTGGCTTGCTTTCTCTTTTTCTCTGTCTCTCTTTCTCTGTCTCCCTCTCTCTGTGTATCTCCCTGGTCAAACTGAAGAACGATACTAATAATAAATACAGTAAAATAAAACATTCTTTAAGAAAAACATCCATTACTAACTCAGATGTTGCTGTCCAAAGCAAGCCCCTGTTCAGACAGGCTGATAACTGCAAGGGTGGATCACTGTAACACTGTACCCCTGGCTGCCTTTGCTTAGTGGCTGCAAAATTGAGAGGTATCCAAAAAGTGACAAAAACGCCAGTGGTTTATTTCCCATGATTTTTTTTCTTTCCTCATTGAAGACACTGTTTTAAGAGAATTTTTCGAGTTGATAGGAATGCTGAGTTAAATTTAAAAAAATAATTTTGTGGATTATCAGTATACTAAAACTGTAGGACAGCATTATGTAAAAATTTACATTTTTAAAAATTAATCTAGGCTGATGAAAACACTAAATTAGATCTACAGCAGACCCATTAAATACTTACATGGCATATTTGATGGGCTCTTCCATAAAACCTGAATTATAACAAATTGCCAATGGCTTGGTAGTAAGTACATGCTTGACCAGACTCATCTTCAGAGATCTCATTTACAAAGTCAGTTTGCTGCAAGAAGCTGAGGGGGTGCATATCGTATTTATATATATGTAGAATAACTCATTCTTCACAGAATAGATTATA